ACCTATTAGGTCTATGATGGTCCCAATCCCCCTAGAATCTCCCAAGTGGGTGCTTGGGGCTTAAGAAACTTATTAGGTCCGTGAAGACCCATCATGGACCTGGCAAGTCCATGATGGTCCCAAGATAAGTCCCAAGCTCATCATAGACCTGTTAGGACTGTGACGGACAAAATCAATAATCATTGAGGAGGCTTTGTTTTTGGTAACTTAGAAGCCCAAGATGTATAGGGCTTGGTAATGAAAGCACCCGGTGGGTGTAAGTAGAAAATGTTGAATAGGATTCCCTAGGGATTACATAAGAGCCACAGGAAAGATTTTATTAAGAGTGAGAATGCCACATGTGGAGAAGAATCTGGCTACTAAAGTGCGAAGGAAATGGTGGTCAATTCTCAAATCAATCAAGCACACACATAGTATTCAATGTAAGGCTCAAAGTGACCAACTCCAATGGGGACTATGAGAGACAACTGCTGCATGAATTCAAGGGACAAAAGAAAGCTAAAATCATTCCTTGAAGAGTGACGACAAGGAGCCATGGATGAGCCTTAATCAAACAATACGTAATGGCCATGGAGAGAGCATAGTGTAACAGAGCTTATAATGGGTATGAAGATGGGTTAAAAAGGGTTATACAAAATGGCTATGAAAGAGGCTAATGAGAGAATGGGTGGCTTCTATGCTAAGTGTCGATGCTAACAAAATTTTGACATCAAAACATTACGGTTTTAGAGAGATACAAATAGCAGACCCATTACCTTTATTTGTAGCGTTGGATTAGAGTTCAGGTTAGATTCTAAAATGTTTTTCTTAATGAGTGTAGACACCCGATTTTTCTGGGGAGGAAATTCTAGGGAACCAAAAATCCTAAACATCATGGATACTCGTTTGTTCCCGGCACGGGCACAGAGGATACCGACCTAATTTGACGGAACCTCCTAGGCAATAAGATACCTGCCTAATTTGGCCCAAGGATACCCACCTAATTTGGAGGAACCGTCCTAGGCGATAAGATACCTGCCTAATTTGGCCCCGGAACCTGCATAGGCACCCGAAGACACCCTTAATTTGGCCGCCTAAGCCTGGGCGATACTATATTTTGGTCCGAGTACCTTACTTGAATCCAAGTAGACTTACGGACTCAATTGTGACGAGTAACATACCCGAATCCGAGTGGACTCACGGACTCAGTTGTAACACATGTTATATAGTGGGGAGTAATGGAAATTTCATTTGAAATTTTATGATTAGAACCACTTTCCTCTGAACTCGCATTGCAAACAAGACCCTTCAATAAAGAAGGTAATAACCATTTTCTCTCTGGGGTGGCTACCCTCTTTTTGTGGTTGATACACTAGATACATTTTTTACGGGGGAAATAATTCACATAGAGATTAGCAGGAATTCCTATAACTTTAAGGCCTATTAATCTACAAAGAGAAAATGAATTTTTTTTTTTAATAAAGCTTTATCCATATTTAAACTCATAAAAAAATGTAGTGCACTTTCATAGAGATGCTTATTAATTGTAGACAGCAAATTAGTCATTAAAAAAAACAACACAATAGATAACCAATCATATTATGACTAAATCGAAAGAAAAGCTTCGTCTTGAAATAAAAAACCACATTCTTTCTTCTTTTTTTGCACATTCATTTTTTCCAAAAATTCATAATTTGGGTAATCAAATTTTGTTTCAAATAATATAGATAAATCGATGAGAAACTACAACTTTTCTTTATGTAATGTAAAGTTGCTCCGGGTTTCAAACAAATTCCAGAGGAACTCTAAATGTCCAAAAATCATGATCGAATTTTATCAGTTTTCTTTGAGCACACTCTTAATTTTTTGTTCAAATTAAAAACTATCATAAGTGCCTGGTAAATTTCAAGTCAATAACATTAATATTCTCAGATCAAGAAGTATTTGCAAAGGTAATAATCAAATGATTCAAATCAAATTCCCCCAAAATGGAAAGAGCAAGTCAAAAGACACATCAAGTTCTATTTCTCACCAAAAAAAAAGAAAAAATATTTAAAATGTGGTGCTCATATTCTATGGGTGTAAGGTGTCTGTCATGCCATTTAGCAATCAGAACGAGGAATTTTTATAATCATCGCACCAAAGTTAAAGAACAACCAGAATCTTCCCCAAATAAATAAGAATCAAGAAAATCAGTTAAAAGTAAATGGCATACCCCAAATAAATAAGAATCAATGAAAATGAGTTAAAATAAACGGCTCAGACACGCACAAAAGCTCATCACAAAGAGACATGAATATAATTAAAAATCATACAAAAATCTCAAAGGTCCTATCTTTAGTCAGGATCGAGAAATGATTCTTGTCATCACGGCCAAAAAAAAAAATCATGAAAAAAAAAATCATAGACAATAAAAAGCAACAAAAAAATCATTTTTTCTTCGAAGGTCATCATATTGAGGCAAGCGTAACCCAGAAACTGGTAATAAACAGAACCAGGCTTTAAATGCCTCCAGTTCAATATAGGAGTAGAATCAAAGATCTCATCCAAAACATGGAGAAAACAGATAAATTTCCACTCCATATAACCTATTAATCTAAAGTTAAAATAAAAAGGGGGAAATTTTTATAGGTGAAATTTTGGGCTTTTCCACGAAACTAAAAACTCAATAAAAGATTTTGTAATCCAGTTCATGTGAAAGCAGATTGAGATCTACTAAGAAACGAGAAAGCTGGTTGCAAATCCTATAACCAAAGGAAGTATTAGGGCGAGAAAAACCCTAATCCCGTAACCCATCTCAAGCAAGAGTCTGAAACCCCACACTACCGAGCTCATGGGAGATGCAAAACCCTAATCTACAAGCGGTCGTACCTAAATAAGAAGTAGGGTAATTTATAGGGAATGGAAGTGTTTAGGGTACCCCTCTCTCTCAACAAAGACCGTTCAAACGTCTTCGGGATATACTGTCTATTTACATATTCTGCTTCTGGAGTATACTGTCTATTTACTCCCTTCGGAAAATTTACAAAACGGACGCCTTTTTAGATCCCAAGTTTTGGACAACCCATTTCTAAACATAAAATAATAATAATAATAAATAATTAATTAATGAAGTTAATAAAAAAAAAAAAAAGACATTCTAACTAAAGTTGCACCTGAACCATCCAATTTTAGAGATAATGTTCTAGCTATTTTAGAGCTCAAAATTTAAAGTTTTTACTTCAAAATAATCATCTTTATGTAATTAGATGAATCCTAAAATTTCAAATCAAAAAACTCTCCCGAGTTAGTGTTATGCTAGAGGGATAGATATATAGCATACTTATGAGGCCATTGTATACATGCTTATTTATATAGAAAGAAAAGCGCATAATGTGGATGAATTTATGATACATAGTTATAACATTTCAACTTTAAAAACACAGTAATTCAAAATAAGTAAAACATACAATGATATATGTGCATACCATGCTTATTAGACACTTCATATATGAAATGGACCCAATTTATATGAGTACATGTAGAAATGAGGTGCCTTTCAAGAACCTATTTTTTAGATTGATTTTTGACTGAATTTTTAATGACACGTAATCTCTAATATGGAGACCATGAATATGAATAAATAAATAAATTTAAAAAATTAGAATAATAATTATATTAAAAAACATTTGGTCCATTAGGTTCAATTATTTTTAGATGGACCCCCTATCCATTTTTAAGATGGATGTTTTATAACTTTGGACCGCATATGTAAAAATGCAGTCCAACCCGCATGAAACCATTATTCATATAAAATTAACTAGAGACTACGAGTACCCTACTACTCTTTGCGCAAGTTTTTATGGCGGAAGCATGTTCCTGAGTATTTTACAAGAAAGAGGCATTTTGACAAGGTAAGGTTTGTATGAGACGCCCTCTTTATACCATCAAATCAAGGCGCACTTCTAAAATTTGCATGTAGTTATGTTGTCGGAAGCCTATGATGGTTTGAAAATCTATTTTTATTCCCTAATTATGAAATTTAAAATTTTAAAACGATGCATATCGAGTAGATCTATAAATGTTTTAAAACCTTGAAAATCAATTGTCCATATAACTTGTTATAATATACTTTATTTTTAAGAATTGAAATTTTTTTTTACTCGCATCCAAATAAGTCGAGATCGAGATGATCAGATGGAGGGTTCTGCAATGTTGGAAGACTCACTTCTATAGGATTTTTGAGGGGCCCTTACTTCAATAATACAAGGTTGCAACCTTATAAAGTCTTTACTTGTTATAAACACAAAGGAGAATGTGTATATAAGGCTTGGGTTTAAACGGTAACGCTACACCTAAACTCCAGCAAGAAATTCAACTTTAGTATGAAAAAACCCTCAAATTGATCATCCGAACCTTGAAAAACTTATATATGAAAAAGGGAATTTCATGCTCTAAAACAATGTATCTTAAAAGAAATTATTTTGACTATCTATTTTCAAGTGTTTGCATTTTACATGTCTACTAGATTTACTTCATTTATAGAACATCAAATTTCATAAGCAAAGAAATAGATTTTGAAGTCTACATAAGGTTTTGAGCATCCAAACTAACTAATTTCTTGCCTATGTTTTGAGATACAATTTTAATTGCTAACATAAAGCCAAGGCCTTATGCTAACCCACCCAATATATAGCTGAAAGAATATCCTAGATAGAATTTTTTCTATAATGTTTTCCAGCAATAAAATTGTTAACTTTAATAAAAAATAAAAGTAAATAAATCCTAGAAACATTTATTAAGCTATTATGCTTTAGAAAGTGGCAAGAGAATCAAAATGGTGGCAAGATTGCAACGTCCATTAACTTGCTTGAGGACCAAGATAGAGAGATGCGATGCAATGCTTTCCAAAATTCTAGGTTAAAAATGTTTCCTTCATGAACCATCTTCTCCATATTTATATCCATATCTAAGAGTTCTTGTGCGAGTGCACAGACAAACTTCTAGTTCTTTATCCATCACAACGAAAGCCATGGTACATATTCATTCCATGGTGATATGATTTTGGAACACCAGACCCATGTATTGAAATTAATTTGTTCATATTTTAAAAGTTTTAGTCCAACTTTAAGGTATGTGTATTCCTTTTGTTTCTTCTATTTTCAAATGATCTCCTAAAGTGTTGAGTCCTATATCGGTTAAACATTGGTTACGAATTTACGATTGAGTGTTTTCAACTTTGTCTGTATTCACTAGTGTTCGACATAAATCTGTGACGGATGTGTAATATATGAGCAAACAAATTTTGCGCCAGACAAAAAAATGACTGTTTGAGAACATAAGCAACCTTCTTTTTTGGAAATTTTTTTTTTTTTTGGGTGTGAAATTCAAGCCTCTCCTCACTTGTAAATCATGAGTGTTTATTTGTTTACTTGTTTTTTTTTTTTTCATTGCAGTTCTCAAGAAGATACTACTCAACCCCGTTCGAACGAACCTATGAGTGTTACTCTTCTTCATTTATTGATAAGGTATGGGTATAAGATCATTAAAAAGACTCCAATTTCAGCAAACTTATATTATCGAACATCATAATCTACCATTGTATTACTTATGTAATTAAGGAAAACGTCTAGGTGCTCTGGTGGACCAAATTGTACATTTGATCTCAAAGGTCAAGCAACAAGGGATTTGTTAGACCCCAAAACTATCAAAAATTTTCTATTTCTCTAGAACATCAGTTTAAAAGATGGTTAGGAGCACTAGCGGAAATTCAAATCACCTCTAACTGAACCTCAAACTTGGGGAAATGTGAGCTCTTGATCATTTTCTCTTCTTGTTTAACTTGTTCTAAGATGCTCCAACCATATTTCACTTCACAAAAATCCCCTTAACTAGCTGCAAGACCAAACGTATAATTTCATCCTGATGGACCACCTTACTGGCCCAATGTTTGATGGCAAAGTAGCCTACCATAAAAGCAACTAAAAAATGGCACGGAGAGGCCACACCTATTCATTTAACCAGGGAGAAAGTTTATATAAGGCTGATACCTTAAATAGTAGAAGTAAGGTGTATATAAAAAAAGCCGACAGAAAATACTATTTTGACCTTAGAAAACCATCTAATTTATCATCTCAATATCAAGAACTATGAATATGGAAAAAAAAAGGGATTTCAAGTCTTAAAAATAGTACATCTTGTAACACATAATTTGGCCCATATATTTTCATGTGTTTATATATCAACTTTATTTGAACTATTTTTGGAGTTAAAATTTTATAATTAAATGTAAAACTAGTTTATCGGGCCATCCTAAAATTTTCGATACCAAAATTGAATTTTATGACAAACTTTGGAGGTGCATCTTACTTTAATTGTTTAAGGTTGCAACCTTATGGAAACCTCACCCTTTAACCAAATATCGCCACGAAAACCGCAATGTTTCTTATGGGACAACATAGTAAGAACGTATGCTACCTTGCTATATTCCATGGTCACTAAAAGAATATAAACATAATTTCAACATAGGGGATGGAAAATCGTGGTTTGTTATCCTAGGCCTATGTAAGGCAAGCAAATTTAGCAGTTTTGTATATGCCATACTGTATCAAATAGTATATCCCAGGTAGTTTAAATCTAGAGGGGCAAATTGGATTTTCAAAAGCAAAACACTTGCATCCAAGTACCTTACATTTCACATTCCCTTAATTTTTGTAATTTTTTCTTCGGAAATTCCAAAGTTCCTAGCATTAACTCGAACCACTTGATATTGCAGCCAGAGTTGGAAAATGGGGACAATGGTGAGTGATGCTTACTTTAGTGATTTTAGTAGTCATCTTATGTAGAATTGAAATATTTATGCTTGATGGTGGTCTACTAATTAATTTCCACTTGTTTTTATTTTTTTTCCTTTTTTTTCTTTTTTTTTTTCTATTTTCTTGTTGGGAAATGCATGATCACAGTGATCATGCCTCCTTCTGCATTGGATCACTTAGGTGAGCAATTCTTATTGCTTCTTCAAAGTTCAAATCCATGGTGTTTTCAGAAAGTTCCCTCCCCTTCATTTATCACTATACAATTGAAACACTATTAACAGTCCATTGTTTTGCATCAAACTCTTCTACTTTTATTCCTCACAAAACAAGACGTGTTCAATTTGTCTTCAGCATCGATACACACTGACAATCCGATGGTCTTCGAGCTATATAATCCTGCAACACAATGCAAAACTCACTGTGGTGTGCTCGAGTTTGTTGCAGAAGAAGGCACTCTCTATATGCCATATTGGGTAAGAGCAAAGGAAAGAGTTCAAAATTTACCTCTGCCTCTTCTATTCAAATATGTTTTGGCCAAACTTTTAAGACAGTACAAAAAGAAAAAGTACTCAGTGTTCTTGAGGCTGCATGAGGCCACCCCTTGCAAATCCTTCTTGGAGATAGATTGACAGTCCAAAACTCTGCAAATCCATCCTCGTCAACCTCTATAATCATGAAAGAGATTTTGGGATGTAAAAGATAAACATCTTCCCTTATTTTCTTAAGACCATCATAGCAAGATCCCTCTAATTTCGCCATTATAAGTGGCTTGAAATCCATTTGTGTGGGAGCGGGAATGGATTTGCAGGGGTTTGGAATGGTTTTTGGGTCCTCAAACCATGGAAAACTAGGGCAGGGCGCTTCGTGTCAAAACCTTATCTATAATTAAACAGCCCACATTCTTGGCATAACATGTATGGTTTTTCTTTTTTTTGGTATTAGATGATGCAAAATATGTTGTTACAAGAGGGTGATACAGTACAAATTAAAAGCACTGCATTATCCAAAGGTACTTATGTCAAGTTTCGGCCAGACACCATGGATCTCTTCCATCTCTCCAATCCTAAGGCTGTGTAAGTGCTCTTTCATACTTAATATATACAATTCTATATACAGGATATGTAATTCCAAAGCCAATGATGATTCCATTCCAAGAACCATTCTAGCTGTGTTTCTTTCTCCTGGAGGAGATATTCTTGAGTTGCAACATGGTTAGGCCTGGTAATGTGTTGGAGCCCCAACATGTTTCACATAGAGCTCAACCTGGGCCAAGTATTTCATGGACCGGCCTAGCTCGGACCAGGCAGTTCATTGCCCAGCCCATCTTGGAAGGCTCAGGCCTAGCCCAAGCCAAGGGCAACGCTCTAGCATGTAGAGACAAGGATGTCCCAGGTCCATTTTTTGGCCTAACATGGACATTGAAATGATTATAATAATCCCTAAACTATCGATATTGTTCAAATTCAGCAATTCCAAATTTTGATAGTATCAAACCTGCAAGTAACAATCGTTCTTATATATGCATGTATTAGAGAGCAACGTATTTCTTATAACTAATAATCATGCACATGCATGGGTGTGTTGTGCACATCTTTGTCTGTGTAAATAGTTTAAGATAAACCTTTAGAGCGCGCATTAGCAGTCTAACAGTCCACCAAGGAACACATGGGTGCTCTAGAAACAGAGGTAGGGGATCTTTTGAATTGATCATCTTTGGTTCAGTTTGTGAACAATTCCAACTAAGATATGCTTTTGAATTATGAAAACCCCGGATCGCATCATCCCTCAGATTGGTGGTTCGGAGTTGGTGTTTAAGCAAGAATTGATTTAGAACATTTTTTGAGCTCCATATCAATTTCTATTCTCTAAAATTAATCCTAGAGATGACTAAGTGTTTTTGCAGCAAGAAAACCCCCTCTTTGGAGCACCCCACCATGTTTTGACAGTGAAGTGTCAGACCACTTAATCTTCCATCTAAATTGTTGAAATATAAATAACCTGACATCTTTGATGATATGATATTTTTCACAGCTGCGATATCTTTGACTGCACAATTGTGTACACGTTTAATTAAGTATTAAGTTGTAAACAGCCAGTACACAGGCTATACCACTAGGATGTAATCTTATAAATAGAATATTATACACATGTTTAAGGAATCTTTAGTAATACATATGCATACGGTAATACATATATGGGGCTCAGTAATTTAGTTATGTGGCTTCTGTAATAGACATCAATGGTGGCTTAAGGCTTGAATGTAATGCCTTTCACATTTTAATATGGTATCATAGCATATCTCTTTTCTCTCTGCATGCCTAATCCTCTGGAAATGGCCCCTGCAAACGATAGAATCAGCACTTTACCGGTTGAGATTCTAGCCTCTATTCTCACTCTTGCCCATTAGGGATGCGGGCAAAACCTCCATTGTCTCTCATAAAGGGCGATGGGGATTTGAGCCCTTTCCTCAAAAGATTTCATCATGGGTTCGTTGCTACTACCACCACGGCCCCAACCCATTCTCTCTCTTGCCCATTAGGGAAGTGGTCAGACTCCCATTCTCTCTCATAAATGGCGATATATCTAGGCTTCTTTGCCCGCCTTGATCATCAACTTTGATGGTACAGGCCCTCATGATAGGAGACCACAAAATCAGTTGAAAACAGATGATCTGTGATATCCTCCGTCGCCACCACGGGGCCATTCTAGGGTTTCGGTTTGCGAAACCAATGGGATTTAGTAGCTCTTATCTCGATCGATGGCTCTCCTTTTAACCTCCTCTGCTTGGGAGGTTAGGTATTCAATAATGACGATGCGTATGAATTTCAAAGTTATGTGTACCCGAAGCCTCAATATACATTGCATTCCTCGGTGTTTTCATGTGATTCCCTGGTTTCTTTGGAGCTACTTGATTGCAGTTTTCATGTGATTTCCTGGTTTCTTTGGAGCTACTTGATTGCAGTCTTAAGTCCCCTTCTGGTTTCAATGGCTTTCCCTCTCTCAAGTTTCTCTCTCAACAATTAATTTCAATGGATGCTGGCAATTTTGTATCTATAGTTTCCAAAAGTCAGAGATTGGAGTACTTTGAAAGGTTATTCCTGCAATGGACTCACATATGTCAATATCAATGCCCCAAACTTCAAATTCCATCCCTTTGTCTTGAGAATGGACTGGTGCGATATAGGTTGCACTCCTACAAATCATTGGTATCTTTAGTCTTGGGAGATAATGAGAGATCCCTCATTTGTGTTCAAAGTTTTTAGCTCTCTCTTTCTCTCTCAAAACACTACGTGAATCGAGGAACAATGTTTCTCTCTCTAAAAACTTCGTTATATTTTGCTCGGTTATCATGTACTTATCGGAGGGAGTAGAGAGAAGGAATGGATAAAGGTTAAACAAAAAGAGTGAGAGATGAGATATTTAGCCGAGGGATCAGACAAATATTTTATTGGGATGTGATGGTCATCTCGTGTAGGAAGGGACCAATTTGTTTAAAAAGGGAAGCAATTATTTATACTTTTTGAAAATGGATGGGTCAATCTTTCAAACGGTGAATCACTTCATTTATATTATATCTTTATTGTGAAGATTTTTTTTTTATACGATTGAGTTTATTACTCGATCTAATTTTGTTTGATGATCTGCGTGATGTTGAATAGGTATCGGGTTTTTCACCCGATTTTGTTGACTCTTTTAAGTGCCATTTTGTTTTTTTAGTTGTCTCGACAGTTTTTCTGCCTACTCTGGTCATTTGTTCTACTGTTACTCAAGCTTTTTCGGTTCACGAAGACTATTACTCGACTTTTCTCTATTCATGAAGACTATTACTCAAACTTTCTCTGTTCGAGACCTTATTTATGGGGCTTGCTTTCATTTGTCCAAACTCAAGTTGCTTTCTCTTAACTCATCTTGAGTATGAAAGGGAATGTTCACAACCTGATATCTATTTGATGATATGATATCATTTACTGCACAGATATCTTTGACTGCACAACTGTATACACATTTAATTAAGTATTAAGTTATAGACACCATATATGTATACAGGCTATACCACAAGGATATAACCCTATAAATAAGGTATTATACACATGTCTAAGGAATATCTTGTAATACAATATATGCATGCTGTAATATATTCGTGGGGTTCAATAATTTAGTTGTGTGGCCATATACATCCATGGGGGCTTAAGGCTCGAGTGTAAATCCTTTCACATTTTAACCTAAATCTTTCATCTATTTGTAGATTGGAGAAAACGTTGCGGAGTTTCACTTGCTTATCAACTGGTGATTGTATTATGATATCTCACAACAATAAGAAGTATTACCTTGATATTTTGGAGACAAAGCCCGCCTCCTCCATATCCATTATAGACACAGATTGTGATATAGATATTGCTCTTCCCTCAAACTACAAAGAAATGCAAGGGCAAAAGCTTAATCAAGGTTAGTTCATCTTAATTTCACCCAGATGTTATTTTCCTTTTATATTAACTGGTTTCGCTAAAATGCTTGACATTTTCATTGCCGTTTCAACTTTATTTTATGAAGAAAAGAAATTTGTCCCCTTTATGGGAAAAGGAAGGAAAGTCGGTGAAAATTCGGCTTCCCAAGCTTCTAGAAATTCGATGATGAGCATTAAGGAAAGTGAATTTTCGTCAAAATCAAGCACAAGATTAAACCATGCTCCAAAGGGTTTCAGCTCTTTCTCGCAGGTTAGTTCAAGTGCTAGATCTACGCCCCCAAAAAAAAGTAGTGCTAGCCACCAATCTTTGCAATCTTTTAGTAACCATTACAATTCTTACTTCTTACTAAGAGTTGAACTGAAATTCATATCCTAAATACTATTTGTGAGTAAGTTAGCAAACATTATATAAAATGGAAAAGTATATAATGCGATCATTTACCTTTGGTATAAGGTGATCACAATTAATCTTGATCATTGGATGTGAAATTGGGTGGTTGCATTTGTTCTATTGGCCAAGCTTTAAAGTTGAAAAAAAAAAATTTCTCGAATTTTGTAACATACCTAAGCTATAGATAATTGTGACCTCCTTAAACCAAAGGTAAATGATCTAATTGTATACCATCTCTTACAAAAAAATATGGAATAGACTTTTCATTTAAAAACATGAATATTGAATCTTTCAGTGATGGTTTTTGGTATGTTTGTTAATTATTAATCATCTACCAATTGAATGTTGTGTCCATGAGATGGGAGTAGAAGCTACTACTATAGGTTTTTCTCTTCTCCCACAGCCAGTAAGGCCAATATTCAACTAAGGAGTCTATTTATTTATGATGTAGTGGCAACTGCACCATAGATCGATATGGCCGCACTTCAAATTACATTATTTTCATAGATTGAGAACCCAAAAAAATAAAAAACACTTGCAAGCCATTCTCTATCAAAAAATAAAAACATGCTAACGAGGGGGCCACTTGGTCATGGGTGTTGCTACAGCCACACGAAACCATCGTCCTTTTCGAACGACTGTTGCTTTGGCTGCTTTCTTAACCATTGATTTCACACTTTAATGAGGAAAAAAAATCAATATCTCTTTGGGGTACTGAGTGCAATTTGGGACACGATTATGTGACAACCGTGAAAAGATCCCAATGCTTATTTATAAGTAAATGTCTTGCCATTTTAACATTTTTATTCAGTTGGTTTATATTTGGATGTTTAGGATGTTGCAGAGGGGCTGCCAAGAGAAGATAGCAAGAAAGCCACACAAAAGGTTTTCCAGCCATTTACTGGGAGAAGATATAGTCTTCGAGAATGAGGACTGAAATGTTGTGACTTGTGAATGTGTATATATTACAATGAAACAAACCCCAACAATTAAATATATAACTATATACAAAGTATCATAGATCAAAAGCTATGTAATGTTTTATAATAACTACAATACACAACAACACATTTATCCATGCATGTGATTATATCACACAACCAATAATTCAAAAATTGCTTACTTGAGTTAAACCGGATCCTGAGGCTAGTGATTTTGGGCTAAAAAACTCGTGGAGCTTCCTGTGTCTCTTGTCTTTCTTTTTTTTCATTTTCTTTTTTTGTTCTTCTTTTTTGAAGTTTTTTTTGTTAAATATAGCTTGGTCTTACTCAATTTCAACCCAGTTGAACCAGGTATCAAAATCAGACTAGTGTTGAGTTAGAGCCCGATTCCGTTTTTTGAAACAATACACATAAACATGCTGATTATGTGTATACGAAATTTCAATCTTTGATTTATCTCACTTTAGAGTGATTTCTTAAGACCTGAAATTTTGTGAATAAATTTTGATTAATATTTTGATCAATTTAAAGAAAAAGAAAAACTTTCAATTGTAAAAATTGGCGATCTAGCCATTCTACCCAGTGTAAGAATAATCGAACCGGAACAGTTAACCCGATATAGGCCCGGAAGCGGTTTACTTGACTAACAATAAACCGGTCCGTTCAACTGTTATAATCGAGCAAGTTTGGGGCAGTAAAAAAGTATTAAAAAATACAAAAAATGATAACAAAAAAATATAAAAAACGTATTTAAAGAATGATTAAACAAAGCACATCCAAATGAAGTAAAAAACTAATGAAAAAAATGAATTTTAAAGAGTTGATTTGTGCCTAAGAGCATTTTTTAAATTTTCTAAAAAAAAGGAAAAACGTAAAACTAAGTATTAATGGCAAAACAATTTCAAATCTTTGCTATAATGATGAAAAACATTAAAAATGCATTACAAACAAAATCTATTGTTTTTTGGAACTTTATATAATTTTTTTTGTTTTTTTAAATACCCTGCCGGTCATCAAAACCGGCTGAAATCAAAATCGAAACCAGTCAGTGGCTGGTTCCAGTCTAACCAAGCGATTCTCGGTTAGACCACCGTTTTTTTCTTTCAATGAATATGACTATGCAATTGCTGTTCATGGCTTCTTTCAAACATAGGCCATAAGCCCTCCACCAAAGATTTAGAGGGTCATCTGGTTGAGCCACTTCATCCAAACCTTCACCAACTGCTGCAACAAGATCACTTATGAGTGTCTCAGTATTTTCACCATATAATCAACTAAAACTGTGCTATTATCGAATGGATTTGATACAATTATTATGCTAAAGACTTATACTTTTCACATATATCGACTGTTAAAGCATTCTATTAACGACTAGGATTGCATTCAACTTAGAACCTAATCCTAACCAATTCTTAAATGGTGGAAGATAGGTTTTGATTGCTCAAAGGTTTTAAGCCTTCACTCATTTTATGGTTGCGTGCTGTAGTAGTAATGCACTTGAAAATATTTATGCAAAAGTAGGATGAACAACTTACATGTGCCCAGATGCCCAAGCCGCATGTGAATGTGAGAGGAGTCGCTTCTTCATTTTTTTATGCATCATTGTTCTTGTAGTGTTGATTTATTTTCACTTGTTTTTGTTGCATTTGCTCTTGTAGATAAGTTCTGATTTTATAGTAACGAACATTGACATATACTGAAGATTTTTATCTGTTTTGGAATTTTTGGTAGAGGAAAATGTTTTAATGAAGATATTCCCAGAGGGATATAAATATTTGGAGCTTTTTTTTTTTGGGTAAGTGAAATATTTGGAGCTTTGATATAGATGTACATTACCCATTTTTTTTTGCTATTCTGCACTTTTTTTCTTTTTCTTGTTTGAAATAAAAGCTCCTGGACCTGTTTGTACTATAATTAATCTTAAGCTACTTTGCATAATATTATTTCGTTAGTTGTTTGGTACACCTTGTGTTATATATATAATATATTTTGATTACTTAACGTTTTTGCAATTTACTTACCCAAAACTAAAAAATTTAAATTTTGAACTATTTTAGTTATTTATAGGTAAAACCATGTTATTTAGAGCAAATTACTTTGAGTAGAGTAAAACTTTTCAAAACTATAAACTTATATAGAAAACTTCCTAGAAGTTCATATCACATTATTTTAAGAGGGACACGGCCAAACAACATACACTTTATTAATTAATTTTATTGAAACAGTCATTTATTGGTTATAGCGGCTATATCCAAACAAGCCATTATGCAATGTCAGCGCCATTGTCTAGTTCAAAGTTGGATTGAATGTGATTGTATCTTGGAGTTATATATGGTCATCCACAGGACTGAATTATTATTTTCATCATAGGGGAAAATAACTAAAGATTTTCTTTTTTTTTTAAAGAAAGAAAAATTGATGAATGTCGACAATTTGAAGAGCGTTAGAGTCAAATAAATTGCAAAACTTGGTCTTTTGATTGTGAAACCAAATATAAAAGGTATTTGTTGAACCTAAATCCTCAAAAATCATATTTATCCACCTCTCTTTTTTAAATTTACTAAAAAAAGAAAACGTTTGTTTGCAGCTAATAAATGGACAAATGCATCAAATTAGTTCCCAATCTAACAAGGAATTTGGACAATTCATTTGACGAAGTATCAAATCTAGAGTTTTAAGAGCTAAAAATCTTTTTCTTTTGAAACTTATCACAAGGTGACTCAAAGATGATTGATCGAGGGAGTAGAAGTAAATGGTGCTCCTAAAGAAGCATACTGGACAACAATACAAAAAATACAAATTTATTGCCATTAGAACTTTGGTTCCACACACGAGCTCCTATAGATCAAGGTTAGTAGGTTTGGACTTTCTATAGATTCAAAGTTGCGCTCCCTTTATTCAATAGCAAAGATGATGAACTAACAGCTAGGGGTGGCAATGGACCCAAACTTGACCTAGGACCTAATGGGGTTGACCCAATTCGGGTTTGGGCATGGGTCCAAAATTTAAACCGACGAGTCATGTCCAGGTCCGGGCCCTATACTATATTTCTGGACCCATACCTATTACGACCCCTACTAATAAATATATAATCTTTAACTCAAGGTTACAACAACAATAAAATATATAAATTTTTAGACAAATATAGGTTATAAGTAATAAGATAAAAAATTGGGGGTTCTTTGGGACCAAACAATGCATTTATTATTATGGCCAAAACACAATTTTAGGGGATTTGTTTAACCCCCAAAACTTTTGAATAATAGTTATTCAAGACAAGTTGTGTGTGTTTTTAGTTAGGGAAAATTACATACATATTCGTCATCTCCGTTATTACCACCGCGTTCATTTTTTTCATGTAAAAAAAAATTGTTTTAAAAATATGAATTTACCCTTTTTCGGGTGTTGAACAACCGATTTTAAAGTATTTTGGGGCCAATTTTCTGTTTTTGAATAACCAAAAATTTAAAATTTTCGGTTCTTCGAACCCAATTTTTTTTTCTATCTTGTGGGTCTGCGTATCCTCTCTCTACACCTCTTTCTACAATACATGAGTAAAAATGGTTTTGTTTTTTTGACTCTCTCTCCCCTTCACTGAGCGTCTTGTTTTTTTGGATAAGTTCATAATCCCTAAGATTTCTCTTAAATTTATGGGTTCAAACTAGCTCTTTCCCCATGATTTTATCGGATAACCATGACTTCAAAGAGGTAGGGAGAGAATACGCCACAAGATTTCTCCTAATTTTATAATATTATAGTTCTTAATATTTTTTCTAAATTTAGAAGCTCAAACTAGTTGTTCCCCTTTGATTTTATCGGATAACTATGACTTCAGAGAGGTAGATAAAATATGCCACACGAGAGAGAAAACATTTTTCAGTAATTGAAGAATCGAAACTTTAAAATTTTCGGTTTTTCAAGAACCGAAAAAGAGTAAAGTCATCTTTTTTTTTTTTTTTAATTTTCGTTTTGACATGAAAAAACGAATATGATGATAATAACAAAAACTATTCGATAAAGCTTTAATAACATAAACTATAACATTTATGTAAGTAATTTGGAGCCCGATAACTTCTCCGAAGTGGTTGTTATTCCCATATCGACAATAAACGTGTATTGTCACGTTTTACAGACTCAAAATTATTATTAATTTTATTTGCGATCGATCACAATGATTATTTGAAAAAGACAAAACTTAGGTCCTAAATTCCCCTCTCACCATGTGTTTCGCCTACGGTAGCGTATGTAAAATATGATCCCATGGGACCATATTATACAATTTCTTATCGATACACCACTCCCATGGTATCATTGAATTGAAGACAAATTTGTTTGGGTGTGTTTGTATAACAGCCTTAAACAATCCAATTAAGGCGCACTTTTAATTTTTATCACAATATGTAATTTTTGTATAAAAAATTCTTATGATTATTGGGAATGGGGCTGAGGTCATAGTGGTCACACCACTTGAGCCAAAAAAATGGGTAGGGACCTGTATTCCTCACTCATCTACCCAAAAAAAAAAAAATAGCATTATCTAAAAATATTTTCTTATCTCTAATTAAAAAAATTTAAAGAGAAAAGATGAGATCAGCTCACTAGCTCATATGAACATATGAGCCAACGATCCAGATTAATTCTGAACCGATCTAATGATCACGGATGTCTAGTAGTATTTGAATTTTAGTTTTTTTTCTACGAATCCAAATTAGTTGAAATTTTAGGTATGTGTTCATCAAAAATAGGTGAATATTCTAAAAATATCAAACAAATATTTTACATGAAATAAATTGACCAAAATACCCTAAAAAATATTCGGAGGGTATTTTGGTTATTTTATTTTTCACGGATAATTTGTTTTATATTTTTATTAGGTGAACCCTAATGAGAAGAACATACACCTAAAATTTCCAATTATTTTGATTTGTAAAAAAATAACTAAAATTTAAATATTACCAAACATTCATGATTGTCAGATCGGCCCAGATTCAATCTAAACCGTTGGGTTCATATGTTCATAAGAGCTAGTGGGCTAATCCCATTTTTTCTCAATTTTAAAAATCTAAAAATAGTTAAAATCAAGTAGGTCTATAAATATATGAAAATCTTGAAAATAGACGGTCTAGATAATGTGCAGCAAGATGTACTATTTATGGGACTCAAAATCTTTTTTTTGTTTTTCTTTTCACATTTATAACACCTCAATGGCAAGATGATAAATTAGAGAGTTTTTTAATAGTAAAACAAACTTTTCCAATTGATTTTTGAGGTCCATCTTTAATTCTACATTTTAAAGTTACAACCTTATATAAAATTTTCCCTGTTGTATTAGAGCAAAACGTACACTTGCTCGCTTGGAAAATGACCCACTTAAGCTAACTTAGAGGGCAAATGAACCCACTTAACAAAATTTTGTTTTGGGATATTTCAGGATTTATTTTCTATCATCATATGAGTAAGGTTGAAATTTAAAGGTGCGCCTTAATTGTATTGTTTAAGGTTGCAACCTTATGGAAATATCACCCTTGTATGTAATCTCCATCTTAAAATATGTGTAAAATTTGCATCGTATACAGCTACACCAAATAAATAAAAGAAAGTCATTTCATGCGGGCTGGACCGGATTTTTACAATATGCGATCTAGAGGTATAAAGCATCCATATTAAAGATGAATGCAAATATGTGGTCCATCTAAAAACAACTGTAACTAATGGTCCAAATAATTTTTTAATATAATTATTATTTCTAATTTTTTTTATTCTATTAAAGATTACACATTATCTAAAAATTAGGATCAAGTTATATTTAAAAATTATATTTATTGCTAAGCCTGTATTTTTACAATATGGGGGCTAGCCGCATAGAAACCGTGTTCATAAATAAATAAGAACAATTGTTTCATGCGGGCTGAACTGCATTTGTACAATATGCGGTCTAGAGGTATAAAAGCATCTATTTTAAAGATAGGAAAAGTTTATATAAGGTTGCAACCTTAAAATGTAGAATCACAGATGCACCTCAAAAATCTATCGAAAATATTGTTTTAATGTTGAAAAAACCATCTAATCAATTATCTCGACATCGAGATCTATGAATATGAAAAAAAAAAGTTTTTAAATGTCGAAAATAGTGCATCTT